TACTGTCGAAAACGAATGTCAAATCCTTAGCGAAATTAATGATCTTAAAATTCAAAGATTAGAATTCTATTCAAGATGGGGTAGTATGTTATAAATCCAACTTGATATGTATATAACTCACTTTACGGTATTTTTTAAAAAATAAAACATGGCTGATTTGTTGTATTTTTATTTCATTTTTTTTTAAATTGATAATCAGCACATAACTTCCTACAAGGGCAGATGTAGAAGTGTTAATTCTGTGAAAAATGGACCAAAGGAAACGGAAGTCAAATGATGTCTTTAAAATGAATACACAAACTAATTACATATATATTAAACGTAAAGATATACAAGGGTCAAACATCTATTAAAAATAATAATTTAAAAAAATCTTAAAAAGAGATCATTTTGAATATCATCAGTGATGCAGAACATGGTTGAGAGGTTTCACACCAAGTGGATAAAAACAGGCTTTAATTTAAAGTGTCATAATTTATTTGTACGCTTACAAAAAAACTGAGAACCTGAATTAAAGTTTAAATCAATTAAATTTTCGGATTTTCTTTTGGATAATCATGGATGACACAGGGAAATTGAATTATTTTAAAACAAAAATTTTAATTAATTTTTTTTTCATTTTTCTAAAGATATATATATATATATATATATATATATATATATATATATATATATATATATATATATATATATATATATATGAAGAGAATTTATTTTTGTTAGATATGGTAGGGAGACTTAGAGAGTAAGTGTCAGGTTTCTTCCCCGGTAATACATGTTATATCTGATATGTGAAAAGAGATTTCACGATTTAATTAAAAGAGGAAGGGTTTACACGCAATTCTGGATTCACTTTCATGAAATTCCTGCTTACACTTATTTCCAGTTACAAATACAAAACAAGGGTGTCTTTAGGAAATCAGAAAATGTGAACCCAATTGCTGCTTGACGTCTATAAAACTGAGAAGCGAATGAACAGAGCAACTCACATTGTTAACGCGCTCGATTACACACTTGCTTCTCTTTCTGTTATTTTGTTTGGCACATGACAGTTTAGTGGCAGCCTGGTAATTCAAAACGTAAAAATGACCACATCCGTAAAAAAGAGAGAGGGGGAAAAAACAAAGCAGAAACTCTGAACTTCAGTGTGATAAGAAACACTGTCTGCTACCCAGGTGTTTTGGTGTCCAGTAGCGGGATTCCGTGACTAGTATCGGAATAGTAGATTCATCTCGCCTTGAGGTGTTGGTCATTCTCCGTGAGAGGAAATGATTTTTACTTAATCATGTAACACAGGAATGAAATGTATCATTCCTTTATAAAAAGATCCATGCAATCCAGAGAATACCACTTCCGATGGAATGGCTAATTAGCAAAAAAGACACCGCAGGTGTTTTTTTTAAAGCAAAATATAACATTTCCGTTTTTCAAAGCAATTTCTTTAAATAGAAAAAATACCATCGTTGTAAAATGCTTGCTCCTGTACATTCATTGAGAAATATTGTTAATGAATTAGATTTAGACCTTAATGTACAATTAATTGCCATTTCTTTGTGGATTCTGGTAAATCATAACTAATTCTAAATTGGATGTACAGTAAATGAATCAGATTGCTCCCGAAAAAAAACCTTCACGTGTCAGCAATTATCAATCGCAGGATGTAATTTTCATGTTATACCGGGCGCGTAGTACTGGGTGATCTGGTGCTGTTCCCCTTATTGCTTTTTTTTGGTATGAAAATTTCATTTGAAGCCCGATTAACCCAATCCCCCACTTAAAAGTTTTTGCATGCCAAATATTTCAGGATTTATTTTTCTTAAATATTTTCCGACCTGTCCCACTTCATTTTGAAAATAAGGATAAAAGCTTAACCATTTGCAATCACCCCTTTGTCCAAATTTTCTTTCTCAAAGAAATTCTGCTGCTTTTGTATCAAACCAGTAGAATGAAATATGAAAATTACGAAAGGAATCATACTCCAAAGTCCATTTAAACAATACAAATTGTGAGAGAACGAACATGGACATCTGAAAAACAGAGGTGGGATCCGTGAGCATGGAGGACTAAGTATCCCCTTTCGACTGATTACACACGCAATGTGTCCCTTGTCATGATCGGGTAAACGGAAAAAAAATCAATTGAAAGATAATTTGAAAATAATGGCTTATTAGTTTGAATGAAAAAAGTCAGTTATCTTCGACCTAACGGCAGATCCTATTCGTAAACAACATCTTTGAATTGATCAAAGAATTTTTATATGCGAAATCTTGACTTTACGCGAGATTGTTGATATCCATTTATCATTAATCTATTTGTCAGTAGCCTGAAAAATGTTCTTACGTAGAACACGTTTTTGCTTTTCAAATCAGCTGGAAGACATTAAAATCCATATGCATGTGGCAATGGTATACTGCTACATAAATAAGGTGGTAATCACATCTGTCATGAAGTTTAGTTATTAGCTTGTCATCAATGTCTTTCTCTAGTAAAATATACACATGTGATTTAACAGACTCTGTGGTGTCTTTTATTTCGAGTTCAGTGAGATATATCGAATCAGCTTTAGGATGAAAATGAATACTGTTAATTGAAGGCCACATCAAGAGACTTTCTTTTTACGTAAACGTTTTGAATAAATTCTGTTTCATAAAAATACAAAAACAGGTCTGCTAATCATGAGACACAATCACTACCCATAGAATTAACTTATCAAACATTTCTAATTATATTAATCCTGACAGATATTGCTAACATCAAAAAGACCTGAAGAAGGGAAAAAACTGTTATCCTTCTCTCAACCGCAAAATGAACACTTCGCCCAATATGAACATTGATCTTTGATCAAATTTGATATAAGTATATGAGTGTGAACACTTCACAGGCAAATAATTGTGTTCTTTTTTTTATGCTTTCCCTACATATTTTCCTATCGACAATATAGTAACTCCTCCTGGCGAAATGCAATCTCTCAATATAAAAACGGATTATACAGGTGTGGTTATCATTGACATACATTGGCATAGGTAAAAATATTTATACGTATTATTATTTCATATGAGCATCCTGCATTTCGTGAAGTTTGACTTTTTCAGTTTTGGTTTTCATTTTAGTCATGTCTCTTCCGATTAATGAACAATCTTACGTCACTTTATCTCATATTAATGAAGCATCTAATCAAATATTTCCTTTATTGCTTATAATGAAAATATTAAAAGAATTATATATCTATACAGAAACATGTGGAATGGAAATGAACAGCGAGGTAACTTAAATAAATCACGGTGTAGAAAAGTCATTCAATTTTGCCTTGTTGATCTCGCAATCAAAGCAAACACACCAAAGTCACCAACAAACCAATCTGAGCAAGATTGATGCCAACAATTCATATAATCCGAGGACTATCCTTAATAAAGCAGATCGGATAGAAAACAAGCTTTTGGTTATTTTAATCTGCTGTGATATTAAAGTCGAAAAATAAGATAATTAAGTACGGCTTTGTAGTTTGATTTGATTCTCTGAAATACGAGAACGTCGTATTGTATTCCAAAGAGTCAGTGACAAATCTAGAAAATTTGTCAACATGAAGAATTTTCTTGATTGTGTGTTAATATTGTCCTTAGGACAATTACTTACATTTATTTACATACATATATGCACCTCTAGGTTGTAAGGATGGAGAAGCTGTTCTAACGTATAACATGGAACCCCCCCACCCCCCCACCCCCCGAAAAAAGAAGAAGAAAAAAATCTATTTTGTAATGATAATGAGGATTATTAAAGAAGTATCACACACACAATTTTCACGCAATTAGTGTTTGGTTTGCGCGGGAATAAATTGAGAACTGCATTTTAAGGTATCACTTTATTAAGGACCATTCAAAATGAACTATAAAAAGCCCAGTCTTTCCATATGCACTGTAAATTGACAATTTAATCATTTTATCATTACTTACACTTGTTAAAACTATTTTTTTCTCTGGAAAAAGTGTCTATCTAACAATGATACTTAAACATGGCCACGTATGGAAAAGGAAAAATTCAAGAACCTACAAGTCTTACGGATTCGCTTCAAAATTGCATCTCTATTTACCTGATCAAGACAAATTAAGGAACTCAGACTTAAATGTGAACGATCGAAAGAGGATGCCTACTCCTCCGTGGCACCTGATCCCACCTCAGGTGTTCCCAGGGGTCCCTGTTTATCCTGCTCTCAATTTTTATTTTTGTTATTGGATGTTGAGATTGATCACTGTCTATTTCATTTGGTCCCATAGATACTGTTGTAAGATGTTTAAAAGGTAGAAACAATTATGATAGACGTTGAACTTTACTCGTCAATTTTGTGTCATGCAAGAGTTTATTTACCGATTTTAAAGAACGATTTTTGTAATGATATATAGTTATTTACTATTATTTTCTAGTAATGAATGTACCTCCGGGGTGCACGAAATGAGTAAGCAACAGAAAGTATCTTTGGTTGAAAAATAACAATGTGAATAAGCATCCTTATTCCAAGTATTGTTATAAAATACAAGAAATTTCGTAAAAAAAATATGTGATGAAGGTTTTAGCAATATTTCATACATGCAATACAAATACTATACTAACGGTGTCTTCATTTATATTGTAAATTACACTGGGGATGAATGGCTGAAAAGCGTAATGGAACCATTTATGATATCTTGAAATATGATTCTTCCGTGTAAGATACAATTCGTGTTCATCTAAAACAAGCTTAAAAGTTGAACCAAAACGGCATATAGAAACTTCAGCTAAATCTTGCTTAACAAACATTTAAACAATAAATGCATTAGGGCAAAACACAATAAGGCCCATTCCCTATGAGGGATTTTATTTGATTTATAAGATCTATTCTCTTTACTTGTACACTCTCCCGGGAACGGTAAATGGGAAATGATTGTCAATTTGTTTGTTTTCCTATTAGTTTTTATATTGATTTACCATTTATTGCCATTTCAAAGATGTTTTTGTCTATCTAGGTAACAAAAGACAGCTCCAGGTTTGTGAACCTCACAGGGAACCGGGGACTGGTTCAATTACTGCAAAATACCAGAGATGGAGACCTTTTACCAAAACACGTCCAATTCTACCCATAACAATGGAACAATTTCTCCTAAAAATTACTCAGAAGACCTTGCTAAAATAGAAATCATTCTGCAAGCCATCATACTTTATATGGCCATTTTTGGAAATGCAGCCGTCCTAGTAGTATTTCGTGTGAAATCAAAAAGACTAAGCAGAATGCAGTGGTTTATCGTACATTTGTGTTTTGCAGACATATTTGTTGCATTCTTTAACGTTCTCCCACAATTAATATGGGATATCACATTCCGTTTCCAGGGAAACAATTTCCTTTGCAAATTGGTGAAATATTTTCAATTGGTGGCCATGTATGCGTCTTCATACGTGTTAGTTGTGACTGCATTAGATAGATACATTAGTATTTGTCACCCGCTGACCAGCCACACTTGGTCAAAGCGACGGAGGGCGAATCTTATGGTCTTCGTGGCTTGGCTTCTTGCGTTATTTTTTTCTATTCCTCAGCTGTTTTTATTTGCCTATATGGAAACTTCCCCCGGAAGTGGCGAGTACGACTGCTGGGAAACTATGAGTGACGGAGACCCCTGGGAAATACAGGCATATTTGACATGGATTTTTTTGTCTATTTACTTCATACCATTTCTTATTCTTACATTTGCTTACACACGGATTTGTTACGTTGTCTTTAGTAGTGTATCCTCCAAGGAACAGGTCCGGGTTTCTTTTAACACAAAATCCAACGGTTTCAATAAGAGAAATGATCTACTGACTAATCCTCGAGCGCATACCCGCTGTGCCTCAAAATCCAAGAAAAAGACAATATACTTGACACTCACAGTGGTATTGTGCTACTTGATTTGTTGGGGACCTTTCTTCATTGCTCAAATGTGGGCCGCCTATGACCCTTTTGCACCATTTACAAGTAAGCATTGATACGATCCTCAGTTTTACTTCTTCTTCATAAAAAGATTGAGTGAATAAATGAAAATTCATGGTCATGTCTTATATGATTCTGTATTAACAGAGGAAATCAAGTGGTGAAGTCAAGAGAAAATGCAATTTCCTTCGATCATCAAAATTAATAATTGTTAAGCATTTCTCAAACAAGTACAAGAATTTTAAAATGAAGTTAAGGAACTACAGACAACAATGTATAAAAACCGTTTTTGACACACACTTTACTTTCTCATGAACTAGATCATATAAATATTAATTTTTGTCTCGTTGAATTTAAAATTTTTTTACCGACATTTTTATCTTAAATATCCATTCAGTCAGTACCTTCAGGAATATCAGGTAAAAAGTTCATCATGTGTTAGATAAAAATGGTTACGAAAGTTTAATGATTAACGATATTAGATTGTAGAAAAAATTGCGTCGTTATGGAAACATAAAACTTAACAACACTGTCAGTGGGATAAGCAGTCTTGAACGATCCACTGAAAATAATACCAAATTACTTTTTTCACTCATCTATTCCTACGTCATTATAACCGTAAATGCATGAACAAACAACAAATAAGATTTTTATTGCAATTTCCAAATCTAATAGTTAATCTTCATGTAGTGTTCCCCTCATAAGCAATTTTAATTATTTTTTTTTTAATTTTCATTCTTATTTAAGAACATTATTGAAATAGTAAAAATTTCTTTTCCATTAGGTAATAGTCCATGTATTTATTGTTTTCTAGAAAGAGACTGATTGATGCTTGTATCTCAAATTAACTATTTTTTCTAAGTCAAAACTTTAGATACCTAAGTCCTTTCTTTTTAACAGTGGTAAAACGTCCATTCTGTAATTTTTCAGGTGCATCATTTGTAATCATTCTTCTGCTGGCTAGTCTTAACAGCTGTACAAATCCTTGGATTTACCTGGCGTTCAGTGGTATGGCAACATGCTGTAAAAAGAGGAGTCCCAAATCACCTTACCCACAGTATTCTCAAGCAGGAACTAACCAAACCTTTGTCGAGTTCGATTCCTGTAGTACCAGAGGATCTAAAAACTACGAAACCAAACAGATGATTCCGATTCCGATCCCGATGTCTGATAAACCTTCATGAAATAGCTATATTTAATGATTGATGTGAGCGTTCGAACACTCCCAGAACGAGAGTCATCATTTTTTTAAAAAATAATATATATGTATTTTGGAATAAAGCAGAGATTATATAATTTTTTTTCATAAAATGTATGAATAAATAAACAAAATCTGGCCTTGTCTACTTAAAAGCAATTTACAACAACCTTAATTATTCCTCGAAATACAATGTACCAATTGTGCGATTAAAATCTTTTTTATAGAAGTAATACAGTTAATGTAAGAGTTCATTTTACACTAGGGGATAATTACTCCTTATTTTCTTACAAGAAATGGAAAAATAAACGATCTGGGATATTTCAATTTACAGATTTGATGCCTTTCTTTAGCTTCAATCTTACATTTTAATCAGATTTTCTTTCACTTGGAGGAGAATCAATATATTCCTTTTATGTTCAGAGTGACGGTTTGCGTTATTATTTCAAAAATTGTTGGTCAAAATTTAAGATCAAGTATTTAACAGTCTTAATATTTCATCCAACAGATGAATAGGCACTCCATAACGCCTTTTAACATATTTCAAGTTGTGTTTGATACTGAATTCAAAAGGGAATTAAGGGGGCTTTGTACTCGTTCTTTCTGAGAAGTTGCATTTCATTAAATAAATTACAATGATTACTTAATTAAAGTAGTCATATGACAATCTTATTAAATAAAATCGGACAAAAGAAACTATACAAATCTATTTTTAACCCTAGTGACGGGTTCCGAAATTTTCATGGGTTTCAATTGTTCTTTAATTTGTTAGAGAATGTATTTTTGCAGAATTTATTTTTAAAAAATTATACATTAGAAGAAGGAAAATCTTGCCGTAGCCTTTAATTCAATACATCTCGACAAAGTTTATTCATTACTAATATTAATTTTCATTCATATGTAGAGTCTATATATATTCTTGTGAACACCAATTAAAAATACCACTGAATCTGCTAAATGTTCTTCGTATTTGGATGTTTTATTGAATATAGAATGATGACAAAACAATGGCAAAACAACTTGATTAAAAAAATGGGATGACTGTAGTTTTTCTATCCTCAACTTCTCAAATTTATGTAGCAATATTCCATTATCAGCTGCATCAGTTGCCTCCAAGCTGATTCAGAACGCAAAAGCGTGTTCTATGTTACGATAGAGTTCTTAATAAACTGAGACAGGTTACTGACAAATAAATTTATATAACAGGGATTTCACCAGTCTACTATAAAGTCACCATTTTGCAAATTGTATAGTTGTTAAATTAACTTGTTTTGCAAATACAGTCCTGGGTGTTGAGTCTGTAAAGTTTCATATCAATTGTTAGACCACCGTTTTCAAACTAACTTGGACTAAGGATTACCCCATTTACTTGATCAATACAAGAGGCTCACGGCCGGTATTGACGGGGGATGCTTAATCCTCACAAAGGAGATCGGATTAGGAGCTGAGGAGTAGAAAGCATCCCCTGTGAATCGGTCACATTTGTCGTGAGCCCAATGTATATTTATCAAGTACAGAGTAATCAGTAATCAAATTTAGTACAAAAGCAATATTCTAAAATTAGTAAGAAACATGTCAGTCAAAATACGACCTAACGGTAGGTTGTTTTTGAAAACAAGATCATTATAACGACCATAGAATCTGCAAAATTCTGACTTTGAGATTGTTGGAAGCCCTGTAACATCAACTAATTTATAAGTAGCTTGCATCCGTTTAAAAAATGATCATATTCACAACATGCTCTTTCTTACTGAATCAGTTAGGAGACATAAATACCTTATTCAGGTGATAGTGGAATCATTTCAATTCGTGAGGGACGGGGGCCAATGTTTCCGATCGCGAGCAATAAAAATTTCACTCATTCGCGGGGATGTAATTTCGGATAATTCGTAAAACAGATTCAATGAACCTAGATACTGAAAAAGATATCGTTCATGGGAATGTAAATTTGTGGGTATAGATAACCCATGATCCCACCCACCCCATAATAATTATGTATTAATACATAAATAGAAGTAAAACATCCGAAATTGAAACAGATGTGGCAGACTTTCGAGTTCACTGGGTCATAAGAGTGAAAATTTTTAAGTAACAAAAATTTTCTTCTTATGTAGAAATTTTGAAAAATAACTTCTACTTCATAAGAATACAAAAAAGTTCGGTTAATAGAGAAGCACAATTAGTGCCCATCTGAATTCCAACGGTGCAAATTGTAGGAAGATCTGGTCTCCAAAGACTCCATAGATATATATTGTTAAAGGGGACTAAACACAGTTGAATTTACATTTTAAATGTTTATGTTTATTAAAAAAAAATGGAAATTTTCTGGATTATAATTTAATACTTTTCATTAATACACAACAGAATTTCTACTTTTCGGGTCGCCCGCTTGGCGCAGTGGTAGAGCGTCTGCTCTAGGGTCGCGGAGTTGATCCTTACGTTGCGGGTTCAAATTTCACTGTGAGACTTGGAGACCGGTCCTTCGGATGAGACCGTATAAACCGAGGTCCCGTGTTGCAGTAGATGCTGGCACGAAAAAGATCCCTCACTGCTCAATGGCCCTGAGTGCTAGGTAAAAAAAAATTGCAGCTCTCCACCGGCAAGTGGTGGCGTCTCCATATGAGTGAAAAATTATCGAGAAGCTTTTCTTTAGTATTCAGGATAAAGTTTACTCCGTGAAAGAGCCAGGATATGTGTCAATCAAACGCGTCCCGAAATTCGAAGGTTAAATAATCTCCAGATAAGTGAGGTTTCTAAACACGCTTTTATTATATTTTGGCGTGAAATGCTCTAGCGAAATACAAGTCATGATTTTATGCTGAAAATTTGAGAAAATATTAACTTCAAATTTGTGTCTCAGCCCCTCTAATGAACTCAAGCATCTTTCAATATCGACTTCGGAGTACTTATGTGTAGAATCAAAATGACTTAAATTAAACAAGTCAATTTTGTAGACGAACAATCAAAAAATATAACCAGAAGTCTCTGTCGAGACTGTAGCTCTATTGGTTTGTACTTGTAACAATTAAGGAAGAGAAGAGTAGCACGGACTTGAAACTTTGCAAAAGCAATAAATAAATAGTAATCCTTGTTTTACTCGCTTTTTGTCGCAAGATGAATTGCACTCAGACTAAAAATGTAGGAGTAGAATTTAGAGAAATTTCGATTTTAGGTACCATGGCAACATTATTCATCCAAAAAAAAAAAAAAAAAAAAAAAAAAAAAAAAAAAAAAAAAAAGACAATTATGTATCTCAGTGTAGTCTACTTGCATGCCATGTTATATCAAAATCAGAAAAACTGTAGGCAAATTAATATTTTGAAAGTATATCAAATAAATTCAATTTTTTTGTAACCATGGCAACACTTCATCAAAATCAAAAAATTGATATACAAAATTATGTATCTCAGTGTAATCTACTTGTGTGCCAAGTTATATTGAAATCAGGCTTAAACTGTAGGAGGAGTAGCATTTTGAATGTATTTTACAGAAATTTCTACTTTTAGAAACCATGGGAAGACCGTTCATCGAAAACAAAAACCGATAAACAGAATTATGTATCTTAGTGTAGTCTACTAGGGTGCCAAGTTATACTGAAATCAAACCAAAACTGCAGGAGGAGTAGCATTTTGAAAAATTGTTTACACACAGACAGACAGACGACGGACAACTTACTATCGCATAAGCTTTTCTGGTCTCCGACCAGTAGAGCTAAAAATTCCGATTTGCAGTTGAAGAATTAATTGTCTTTGATGTCAAAGAGCAGTCCCTTTTTTCGCAAGGAATTGTTATTGAAAGTGCTGAAGTCGTACGTTTTATTTCATAGATTTGGGACAAATTCTGTGATATTTTTTCAGAATCAACATTTAAATTATACCACTTCATAAATATGTAGTATTATGAATTACTTTGTAATACATGTAATATGTTGTAAATATTGCCCCAAATCTTCGACACTTGAGCCAGGGAGGGCTTACATATCATAATTGTCAGGTAAACAGGTCCAATTTTTAATAGATATGGTTGATTTTAAATATATGATCAACAATACACCGCCAAACGGCCTGAATTCTGGATCCAGAGAACATTAATTCAGAAGTTTGGTAGGTCATTTTCGCCATGCATACAGTTGTCAGCTAGATGCCTCATGAGTAAAGAATTTGAATTTCGGAAACCTTTTTTTTATGTTGTGTGCAAGTAGAAGGGTAAAAAAGTAACAGTTTCTGTTCAACCTCTCTTTTAGATACCATGTTCAAAAATTAGTTGAAATTTTATTTTGTGAGCCAATGCAAAGAGTATGAAAGAGCTGGAAAGTTAAAATAAAGAGCATGATGGGAGAAAATTGGATGCCATTATGTTGACTGTTTCAGATGACCCAGAAAAAGTACAACTCATACCAGAAGTTCTCTTCGAATTTATTTCTGTAGAAAAAAAAAATTAGACTGCCTCTGATATATGTAACTGTTCACGTTCTTTACGAAAATATCTAATACTGTATTCCTTCTGCTTCCAGATAAGTGAAGAGTTTACTTAATTGTTACCTTTGTAACAGGAAGGGAGAAAATGCGATTGACCAGACAAGGATTTGAACCCGGGGCCCCTGAGTTCCAATCAGGCAATCTACTAACTGGGCTATCTGGCCACCGGCAATCGAACCGTCTAATCGCCACATTTCTCCCTCCTCATAGGTCTTCGGTCCCCGAAGACATCAACTCAGATATTTCCCTGGAAGGTCTTTCACTTGTCACTTCCAGGGCATGATCACGGTACCAAATGTATAAATGAGGGAGAAAATGCGACGGAACAGACCAGGATTCGAAACTAGTCCCCCTGAATAACTAGTCAGGTGCTCTACCTACTGAGCTATTTGGTGACCGGAGATCGAACCGTCTTACCGCCACACCTTTTTTGAGTGTTCCTCTACTTAAACCTGCACAGTCCATACATTGAACTTTTTGAGTATCAATTCAAACATGCAGAGTCTATACAGTTACCATTTTTTAGCGTGCAAAAAAAGTTTAAACAGTTACATTTTTTGATTCTCTATATACTCAATCTTCTACAGCATACTTAAACACGCGGAAAGATAAAAAGCTGTGCAACTGTCACACTTATAATAACCTTACTACTATATGATCATTCGATACAATTACCCTATAGTACTGCAAATACTGAAAGCGGAAAAGATGGTGTAACGACAAAAAACCGCCGGAGTTACTGGTACATGTA